TATATATATATATATATATATATATATATATATATATATATATATATATATATATATATATATATTATATATATATATATATATATATATATATATACAGTGTTTCAGTAAAATTTAGAACTGCTTACATTTTTTTTCAATACTCGATAAAAAAACTTGAATAGAAATTAACCGGATTAAGATTTTTCAATTATTTTCTCTAAATTGAGTAGATAAATTAATTGTTTATCAGATATGATTTTAATTGAAATAAAAAAATTGCTAATTGGATTTAAATTTAGACTAAGTAATTAGAGGTAATTTTCTAAGCTAATATAAATTATCTATTAAATTTAGCACATGACTTTGAAACCACATATCATAAAGTTGTTAATTTTTGAATTTGAAATTTTGTGTATTTGTTCACTACTATATAAAGGATATGTTACAAAAAAAATTTCTAAAAAATTCAAACTAGAAATATAGTTAAGATAATTGGTACTTCCAGACATTTTTGGTAAAAAAGAATGGGTAAAAAAGCAGTAGATAATGCAACTAGATGGCAGATTGTTGCATTAAAACAAGATACAGATAAATCTGACACACAAATAGCAAAAGAGTTGGGTGTTTCACGAAAATGTGTCTCAACAATGATAAAAAACTACAAATTGAGAAAGAGTGTCAAAGACTGGAAGACCAGAAAAGCTTAGTACCCGAGACAAAAACTTCTTCATACAAAAGGTTAATGCCGAACCTAAAATTACTTTTCAAGAATTAGCCGAGGATTTCAATAGCTCGTTCAGAAATCATAGTGTTAGCTATGAAACGGTAAGAAAGGTTTTAAAGGAAAAAGGAATCATTTCTTACATTGCTGCTAGGAAGCCACTTTTGGCAGTACGAGACTGGTTGAGACAACTGAAATGGTGCCGAGAACATGCCAGTTGGTCAGTAGAAGATTGGGCGAAGTGTATTTTCAGTAATGAATCCAATTTTGAGGTCATTAATCGCAAAGGACGAGTTTATGTCAAAAAAAAGAAATAGCAGAAGTATGACATGCACATGGTATCACCAAGAATACAAGGCGGAGGAGGGTCGGCAGGAGTCTGGGGTTGCATCTCTCATAAAAATATTGGTCTCTGCAATATGTACACCGGTCGGATCAATAAATATAACTACAAAACAACTCTGGAGCAGCGTTTAATTCCATCAGCCCGTGAATTTTTCGGAAGACGCAAATGGATTTTTCAGCAAGATGGGGCTCCTGCACACACTGCCAAGTCGATCGCCTGATTTGAATCTGATTGAGAATCTTTGGGCTTGGATGGACTGCCAATTAATGCACACCAAGCTGACGTCGGTTGAGCACTTAAAGCAAACGATAGAAGAGACATGGAAGAGTATTCCAAAAGAGTTCTGCATGAAATTGATGCATGAAATTGAGTCTATGCCTAGGAGAGTTCTTTTATGTATAAAAGCCCGTGGTGGTCATTTTAAATATTGAAATTTGAATTTTTTTGAAATGTGCTATATTTAACTGATTTTTTTTGCTACCCTTATTTTTTATGTCTACTTGTTTTCTTTCACTTTTTTTTTTTTTAAATATTTTTTTGCGATTTTTTTTTTACTTAAATTATAAAACATACCTTATTTAATAAAATAAAAAAAAAAAATTGAAAAATCTTAATCCGTTTAATTTTTATTCAAGTTTTTCTGCTGAGTATTGAAAAAAAATGTAAGCGGTTCTAAATTTTACTGAAACACTGTATATAAATAAAAAGCCTTTTAAGGAGACAAGACAAGTTTAAAAAATAAAAAATTAAATGATAAAACAAATAAAAAATAAACCAGAAAAAATAAAATCACAAAATTAAAGTTTTATTTTAATTTAAAAGTGTTTCACGTTTCATTTAATCCAAGCTTTTTAAAATTTATTTAAAAATTTGAAACTTTGATATTTTCTAATGCCTACAAAGCAAAAATAAAAAAAACAGAAAAAAAAATTACTTGCTATTAGGATTTGAACCAAAACCAATACACATGTAACAAACACGCTTCATAAATGACACAATTAATCAACATATGACAGATCAGATAAAAATCAGCTGCTTGTTCTAAGCAATCAAAAAGTGAAGATTTTTTGTCAAGACAAGAGTATAAAGTTGAGTTGTCAGCAAATAAAGCGACTTGAGATATAAAACTTTTATGAAGATTAATATTGTAGATAAAAAACAACACAGGAGCATAGATAGAACCTTGTGGTACCCTTAAAGTTACTTGAAATAAAGAATAGTGAAGGCTTTCAAGAATAACTTTAATACTGCAGTTAGAAAGAAATAATTTAATAATCTTAAAACCTTTATATAAAGGAACTAATAACAAACTAATTGTAGGATAGTTGGAAAGATCAATGTGTTTCCTAAAGTTCGTAAAGTAAAATTGGAACCACTTATTTAGCACTTTTTAAAAAATTAGCAAAAGTTGAAGAGAGTTCTGGAGAATACTTTTTAAATTTGGAAAACTGTAAGGCTTAAACTGTAGAAGTGTTTATTGAGAATGAACTTTAGCAATGGAAGGCAGAGTGATTTAGATGTTTAACAATGTGTTATTCTGTTTAACTGGCAGGAAGAATATGGCATTAGATTTAAGAGTCAAATTAGAGTAAGACTTCTTTGCAAATAACTC